GTTACAAATACTTATTTATTGTTGTACAAAAAAAAGTCAAAAATTTTTTGGAAGAACACCAACACATGACTGCCGTAGCACAGAATCTGGTACTTACCGTCACTGATTTGAGCGTCATGCCACGGTATGTACCCATAGTGTCAATTTTAAATCCCTCAGTTTCTGTGAATGTAAATTAAAATATTGAGTTGAGGCATTAAAACAGCAATAGATGTACCTATCGATCATTTGTCTCTGATTTTATTCATCAGTAATTGAACAAACTTGAGAGAGGTCTATCTTAGGCACCTATATGTATAGTAACAAAGCAATCAGACTTGAAAGAAGTTGAAAATATCATTTTTTACAAATATATTCATCAAAATTAGAGAAATAAATGTATTATCACGAAATGAACAAATCTAAGAGAGGTCTGCCCAAGGTACAGTACACCAAGTATCAAAGCAAAAAGAATTGTAGAAGTAAAAAAAGTAAAAAGTTGACATGGACGCTGGAGATTAAATGATTATTCAATAGTGTATTCATTGTATTATGTTATGGGACACTTAAGTAGGCATATGGATATGCAATGAATTCTATGTATAAAGGTTATGTTGAAAATGACAAATCAAAAGGTGTCATCAGCATGAGAACATGTTACTTTTTATGTTTTCGTAATGGAAAATATTCTACCGTAATATAGAAATGTAATTTACCCTCTTTTCCTTTGAACCTTTCCTGATCGTATCTGTTATACTGTGCAGGGGTGGAGGGTTTAACTTTTTTCACAAGTTCCTAAAAATTGAACAAAACAACAAAACAATCACTGCATTCTATTTCATATGTAAGAATCATGACGCAATCCTTTTGATGATTAATTCAAAACAAAAAAAGATTAATAACTTACGACTGGTTGCGCAAGACTGTGTGTGTTAATGGCACTGTTTGCGTCATGGTTAACTCGACCACCTTCTTCTTGTGCTTTCACAGACTGTAATATTGCAAACACGTTCTTTGCAAAACACTACAATGGAACAAACAACAAAATTTAGATACTGGATACTGAGATTGTACATTTCGCCATTTAAGGATACAGTGTATGGTGTGGGATACTGCTTTTGCAGCCAGAAGCTTGTGAGAATGCATAAGCCGTACTTGCGAGAGCAGAAAAGGCTGTATCCGGTCCATAAAGGTTTTATAGGTGTAATTACAATTTTATCATGCCGTGACCTCAAACACACAACGTAATTTAGAATGATGCATTTTGTTTTGAATGATGAAAGCCAAGTGCACTGGGCCAGCCGTGATACAGGAAATTATTGACCTGATGTGAGCGTGCTCTTCACATAGCGTTACGAGGCCGGGCAATACAAGGTATATGATAATACAGGTTATATTGTGTTTGAATCAGGGTTCTCCCCAGGGCTTTTTAGCGCCGAGGTCCGCGGCGCTATACTTGTGAATCTCGGCGCTTTACTTGGGACCTCGGCGCTATGTGTTCCGACTTCGGCACTTGATTTCATATTTGCCATGCCAATATCAGATGTGCAAAAGCTTTGTTTGCCACACTGGTCAGCCCCGACCGTCACTCAAAATTAGTGACCACCACGGAAACGCTTCCGACCAGAACTATTGTCCGATTGTTACTATGTACCGACCGACACACAACCTGCCAGTCGTGGATTATAATTTGTAAACAATAGACCTAGTCGCACGATACGTAGCGGCTAGTCAAATTTGTTCCATAAGCACTTCTTTGTTTGTAAGTAAATACTTTCTGCGATAGACACAGTCTTTAGATTGAAAGCTAAAATTCTTTTAAAATCAATTCCACCTCGATATAACATGGTTAAAGCGGAGTTCACAATCAGTTTACGCTACGCAAAAAAAAAAAAAAAACTTGTTTATTGTGTGTGTATTGATAACATTTGAACTGTTATCGTGCTACAACATCACTTAACTTCCGCAATGTAATTTTTATGATCACTACCATTCTGAAAACATCGGATTCTACCAGCATTACCAAGCGGCATTTTGATTGGTTAATGGCATTCTTGACCCAACGGGTAAAAGGACACATGCTAATGTTTCACAAACATCATGGCGGGTCTGTTGTTTTTTACCGAAGTGATCAAGTGATCAAAAATAATCGCTCCCGATAAAAATAAGTTGGATTTTACTTTCATTTAATTTTTAAAAAAAAGAAGCAAAATTTTGTTGAGGAATTATTGGTATAACTGGTGTAAAACATCGCCAAGTAAGTTGTGTCACGTCGTAACTTTGATGATTGTTTTGAAGTTTTATTTGTTCGCTCATTACTGTAAATTTAGGCGAGGGTTCTTCGAACCCGCCTATTCACATAGTTCATACCCACCATAGACTCCAGTCAGTCAAAATGACTATTTTGAACTGTAGGCATTAATCAGCGATTCTGCCGGTGACGGAGAGATATAATCCAAGTCAGGGGAAGCCCCATGACCTCAAGATTCTTTTACCCCTTACGTCA